TCCAACCACCTCCCCACGTTTGCCAATGGCTCACCAGCAACTTCCCACCCGACATTTCCGACACCAAAGTCCAGCGATGGATCACCTCTCAGAAAACCAGCAAAGAGAGCAAGCAAGTCCTAAAAAGCTGGTCCAACGACTGCGCAAAATGGGCAACCACACTGGACTCCGACACCAGAGCCCAACTCGAACGAGCCGCTGTGCTATGGGGCATCCCGGTGCGAACCCTATCAAAACTGGGGTCACCGGCCTTGGGCCGCATCCTGGCCGCTGCGAGTCACTTCTACCAGTGACTCTCAACAGCACACCGACAACGACGCACAGCCAGGCAGCACAAATTTTGGCAACACCACTGCTGCCAACTTCTCACTGTCCTCCGTTTCACTCTTCGGTTCTTCCCAACCGATGACGTCACCGCACGTCATTCTTGCTCCTGGCTACTCGCACAGCTTCAGCTACTTGACGTCTGCCATCTCTCCTGTGGTTCCGGCAGACTGAAAGCCCTGCTTACTCGACTTGGCCTGGACAACCCTGCTTCCGATTTCTCTTCTCAGCTTGTCCCTTCAGCGGTTTATCTGAGATTCACCAGCCATCCAAAGTGGCAGGCCTTTTTCTACCTCGGAGCCACTCGCGCCTCCCTCATGGCACGGGGCCGCAGCCAACTTCGCAAACTACTCCAAGTTCAGCGACATCATCTGGTCAATGCCGAACTGGCAGTCCGGTGGTGGGCACATTTCGACTTTTTCCACCACTACACCTCGGTGCCCATTCACACTGTCGTTCCGGCAACGGACCTATTTGCCACTGAACAGTTCTACATCCAGGAACTGCAACCGTCTCTCAATTTTGGCTTCATCGAGAAACATTTCCGGCCACGCACGGGCTTCATACGCCAATTGGACTTCTCCCAATCCCGGCACATGGGCTTCGCCACCATCTGGCGAAAACGCCGCCGACTACGACTACCCATCGCCCTACAACAGGCCTTCCTGGCCAAACGCGTGGACAACCGCCTGGATTTGTGGCGATTTTTGGGCGATCTTGGCAGCAACACTCTACGACGATTTGATGCCATCCGTTACATACGGACCAGAGACTTCCCACCCGCCGCTCTCTATGTCCTTCATCGCATAGCCACACACCTGCCTGAACCACACCACCAGGCATGCCTTTCCGCCATTCGATCCAGTTTACAATTCCGGGGCCTCATTCCACCTGGCCCCTCGAGACCGATGCTTGCACCCTTCCTCGCCTGGCGACTACTGCTAACCTGGTACCGACAACGACAACCACACTCCTCTACCACACACCTCACAGTGGACACACTTGACACCTCTGCCATCACCCGCGTCTACAACGGACGCCGTCGCCGACACAAACCCACACAACGCACCCTGTGGCTCGACGACATCCCCGAGATCATTCAGGCCACCCTTGACATGCAGATCTTCTCTGTCGGCCTTCGTTCATTCAGGCAAACACGTGGGGCACCGATGGGATCCCCCGCGTCCCCAGCTCTCTGTTTGATGGTGATCGCGGTCGCCGAACAATGTTGGACCAACACTCACATCACATCGGGACTTCGCTCCGTTGAAGATACTCTCCTACTCCGCTACGTGGACAACAGACTCGTGATCGCAACCCCCAGGTGGCTCTCGACTCCGGCAGCCAACATACTGTGCGACGAACACTTCTATGGAGGAGACATCTTCCTGGACACAGAAGCCGCCCTGGACTTCTTGGGGTTCCGACTGAACCTCACAAGCAGCACCATCTCCTTCATCCCCTCGCATGAGAAGCACAACATGCTCTCCGTCAAGTCAGCCGCACCACTGATGCATAAGGAATCTGGATGTTATTCCGGACGCACGCTGATCAACCGAGTTTCCTTTCCTGAGTTTCAGCGAGGTCAGGGTCTTGCAATGTTGAAGAGGTTGCACCTCCAACACGGTTTCACCTTACAAAGAGAAGAAAAACCGTCCTTTGCGGAACCACACTGGTTTTCTTCTCTGCCTTTGCATCCTGACAGATTTGACCTGATTTTCGCGCCGCAGCTGTTTGACTGTTTGACCAAAATCCGTTACGAGCATGGATACCAACACAGCACGCCAGCTGCTCCAAGACTTCGAACTCATCCTTGGCATTGCCCAACAAGGCATCGCCACCATCCGCGAGTTCCCTGAGAGTCCGCCTGCCGAACCTGATTTGGCACCGGAGGCCACGTTCGACCCCGCCATTGAGGACCTGACCAACTCACCACCAACACCCCTCCTGGCCCCCCTCGAGGACCTCTTTGAGCCACCTCCTGGTGCTCCAGATGAACACCTTCCCACTGATCATGGCGAACAATTCCCTGGTCATTGGGCTCCGCCCACCCCTCCTCCGTCTTCTCCCGGCGAAAAACGAGCTCGCCGCGCACGTGATTTGGCCTCCTCACGATCTACGGCATCCAAAACCTGCTCGTGGGCCAAGCGAAGCTACCACATCGACCAGGACTGATGCCTCTACTGAGGCCGAACCTGAAGCCTCGCAGCCTTGGACTGAGGGAGAGATTGAACTCCTCCGTTCCCTTAAGACCAATTCCAAAGCCAAGTATGTGTGGTCAGTCATCGCCACAAGACTTTCTCGCACAATTGATGCTTGCAAGACTCAATGGGCCTTGCACAAGTGATGTCGCCCCAGTTGGGGCTCCGTGTGTGTGAAGCGTCCTGGAGCACGGACGGAAATTCCACATTGCAGGGGGACTGGAGCCGATTTGCCTATCCAGTCCAATGAAGCTACGGCATTTCGGTGGATACCGGATCTGATCAATCCGGCGTACCTGCCTATTTCCTGACCCTCTTTCCTGATTCTTTTTGCGGTTTCTGTTTGTCGCTGTTGCTTCCTGTTCGGTGTCGATGTTGTGACCTGTTGATTTGCATTTGCATTCAAGCATTTTTACTGACTGCGTTTTGCATCTCGGCTAGTGAAGCCTCTCGAGATAAGTGTGTGTGTGTGTGTGCGCGTGCGTGCGTGCGTGCGTGCGTGTTCGTGTCATGTTTTGTCATGCTTTATCGTGTCGTGTCGTGTCGTGTGGCAAAGTGCGCGTTGAGCTTCGAGGCATCCTTGCCCGCTGACCGAATGAATTTGCGTATTTTTGCACTGGCCTGGGCCTTGGGTGGGTGTGTCGATGTGCTGGCCAGACCGAGCACTTGCCACGACCTACTGCAGTGCAGGAGGTTCCAAGAGTCGGCTGTTCAAGGGTGTGGCCCAGGTGACGGTGCTAGCAGCGGCAATAGAGGACAGTGTGCTTGGGATTGAGGGTCGGACGAGAGAGAGGATCTTTCATGTTCAGAGGCATGTGTTGATGTTTCATGAAGCCTAGGGTGCTTCCATCCTTGGCATTGCGGCCGCAGGATCTCGCGGACGCTCCACACGATGAACCCGATAAGGATTGTGCCGCGTGGCTGGATGGAGCAACGTCTGTTTGAAGCGCCATCATTTTGATTGATTGAAATCATGGAAGTGCTTGAATTGACAGAAGGTATTTCCATGTTAGGTCAAACCAAACCGATGCCGACACTTGTGATGCAAACGGGCGAGCGCTGCAAACGTTTGCATGTTGCTTTCATGCCAAACGCAGCGCGTGATTGGCGGTGGCTCTGAGTCCCTGTCCCTCTTGCAGAACAACATGCAAAGGTCTGGCAGCTCCTTGGCACAATGGGCGCACGCTGAAGCAGCCTCATGAGCTCTGGAGGATTGTGGCTTCAAGTCCCTAAATGTCCAAAAAACGTTTTTGTTTTTTGATGCTTTCTTTAGAACATGGCTTTTTTCCATGTTCTTCTTTGTGTCTTTCGGTTAGCCGGCTTTGGCTTTCCGCTAGCAACCCCCTAGCACCATACAGCCTCAACCAGCCTGCCTGAGCCGGCACTGAACCCGCCCTAAACCTGCCGTAAACCAAGTCAGTGCATCCCCGAAAATGCGAGATGTGCATTTACCAGCTTTCTGGGCCTGAGGCCAGAAGTCCATAATGATGGAAGAGGGCAAGGAAGCGTGCAGTTCGGAAGCCACACGTCCATGGAGTCAAAAAACCTTGACAGGCCCTGACTGCTACACCGGCTCAAGCGTCGCGTTCGCAGGCCGGCTCCCGGAATAATTCCACAGATCTCACTTGGCTTGGTTTGATGCTCTCATTTGGATGAGTGCTGGAGCATCAGGGAACCTTGCTCAACAAGAGCGGCTTGCTGGGCTCCGCGTTTCTCAAAGATGCCACTGCCTCAGGGCAAAACAGTGACTTCGTGTGAATGGGGGGCTTGACGCGCTGAGAACAGTTCGCCGTGTACGACGCGCAACACCCTTGAGGTTGCTGCTCTGATCCAGTCAAAGCAGCAGGGCAACCGCACGCTGGCGCGGGAGGTTACAAGACGTCGAGGCACCCAGGCGGGTGGAGTGCACACAGGCTGCATGCTTGCGCCATGCCTGAAGGCCAGTGAGCAATAGGCAAAAGTTTCACGTGCCACTGCCGGTCAGCCCATCCTACCGGTGAGGCAACTCAAAGCTTGCGAGGGGGCGCACGCAGCAGTGCCTGCACGGAATGAACAAGCTAAGGACAAGACTTGAATACGCAATGTGGTGCAGCGTCCCTACCCCCCTCCCCCCGCGCTCTGAGTCATAGGTCATACAGGTAGGCCCCCACCCTGTGGTCCTGTGGTCCTGTGATCCTGCGGTTTGTTTAGGATGGGTTTGGGGTCCCCGCCCCATCCCCCCTGTGGTCCTGTGGTGGGTTGGTTTAGGGTTGGTTTGGGGGTGGTTTAGCTAGAGTTGCGTAGTGGCTTAGGGATGGTTGGTCATAGTTGTTGTGCATCATGCGCTATGCACTGGCTCATAGCTTGTCAAAAACACAGCACATGTGAACATCATTTGGGCTACCTTTGTCCCTGCGACCACTTCCTTGACTCGAAGTTGTTGCAAGCCAGTTGAGCTTGGGGATGTGGCTTCCAGAGCACAGCGGTAAGTCAGAC